TGCTAAAAATCTACATACCAATCCAATAGGCATCATACACACTGATGACCCACTGCATTTTACATATTTATACCATAATAATTAATAATCATAAATAACAAAATTACGAGTAGATACAACTAGTTACAAAATAATTATAAATAATTTCAGTACGTTGTTGCAAAACAGACGTCAGCTATAAAAAAAATAGTTTGACACCAAAACATAAGTAAACTCTTAAGCAACCTAGGATATAGATTAGATAACATTGTGTACATGTTAAGTTGAATTTACGTAAACATTGGTACCTACCAATTTATTATATATATACCTATATATATAACAAAAACAATATTAGTCGGAATATAGCACGTTTTATACTTCGCTTATTTCGAGTATAATATCAAATCCCTTTTCTAAGAATATTATTTTCTACCTAATTTTATTCAAAGCTACAAGTCGACAAAATAAATTACTCCTCCAGCCAGACATCTTAGGCAAAGAAATTTAAGCTGAGTGGATATCAAGGACGCTATACATAAAAGAAAGTAAAACATCCCCAAGGTAACTTTTATTGCTAAATTATCAAGAAACAGTAAGTAAACCTTGTGCTGCTATTTTAGAAAATTGTTCTCATTTTTTCTCATGATATTATAAAATCAATAGATTACAATCTAATTGAGTTCGTTAATTTTAATAAGAAGTTATTGGAAAGAATGTAAAAATAATATTAAAATATTGTTCATCATAAATATAAGAAACTAGAGCTGTAATGCAACGCTACTTGCGTTACTTGAGATAATTAACAGAAGCCCAATGTCTTTTCAAATTACGTTTATGTCATTTTTCAACTTTAGTTTTCCGTTATCTCATTATTCACCTTTCTGGTTATATAATCTTTTGCATAGTTTATCTTTCCAGGAGCTTATTCTACGTCTCTCTGTACCATAAGAGCATAGAAAACGTGGGCTAAGTTAGAAAAAAATACGGTTGGACTTTATAAATGTAAGTGCAAACAAACTACAAGCTATAACTGCAAGCAAAAATTAATAAAAGTAAAAAATAATATGGCAATCTCAAATAGACATAAGAATTATGGAATTAAACCAGGCTATAAACGCAGTTTTCTTCCGCTTCTTAAATTTCTGTTTCGTATAAAATTAAAGTGAATTCCGAGTATTCCTTTGTTGCTCGACAATGTTCGAGAACAATTTTATTTCTTCCTCAAACTTAGTTCTTTTGGGTTAATATTTTATTCTGGATCTTATTCATACCCTTTGTGGTTTAAAGTCTGAAATCTACCTTAATATTAGCAAGATTTACATTACAAATGTCAATAAAAGTACGTATATATGTATAGTAATCAATCAATCATGTTTCCACGAGCATGAGGTGGCCCGGCTAACCGAAAATAGCACGACACTAGCACCAGCCCAGCCACCCAGCCACCACATCGCCACCTGGCTCGACGGAATATGTATATAATAAAGGGGGAGGCGCGGGCGGAACGAGCAGGGAAAATCAATAAAGCGGGCTGCTAGCATCAAAACATACCCCCGGCAGATCACCCCCCGCCCACGCCTCCCATCTCCCCGTCTCCCGGGGAAACCCTCCCCATGTTTGGCAGACACCGTCCTTGATCTCCCCACTTCGCCCGGGCGGGCAAGTTTGGATAAACACTCGTGTCGTCTCCTTTGAAATTAGGTCGCTTATGCGTTTCTTTTCAACATTCGCCCTCTATTATAATTTTACGACGGTTTAAATTTATAATATCTGAATAGGTATTGTTCATACTATCATTTTCATGCGAATACTATATGGAATAGCTAGAGATAACAGAAAAAACAAAGATCTCTATCCTGCCGTAATAATCTATGTCCGGCTTCGTTTACTTCGGCGTTGATTAAACTAATTAATAAAATAAACAATTTATGCTTAAAAATCTAATTTTATTGCAAGATAAATGTAATAGTTCACAAAACTGTAAGACATTGCCGGTAGATATTTATGTATTTTTATCTTTACATTCCTTATCAGTAAGATACTGATAACGTTAGTTTATCATATGCCTATTACACAAATAAGATAAGCCAATACGTGCAACTATGTAAATGTTTATTCCCACAGGTACGTAGCATGTTTTTATTATGTAACAATACAAAAAGCATTTTTACAGACCAATACGTTTTATTTGCATTACGAACATCTTGTGTAATAACAATTTATCAAAGATTCGAAATACGTTCTCGTTCTAAACTATAGTTACTTCGACGGTCATAATTATAGTTCTGATTACGTTTATTATTATTATTTTAGTAAATATACTAAGTAAGGTAGGTACTGATAAATATTTACATTTTAGGACGAAACACGTAAAAAGTCAATGTCGAGGAAGATGACCCTTCTTTTTAGTTCGCGTCTTATTTAGGTAAAAACTCTATAATAACACAATGACATTCTATAAATATAAATTCACTCTAACTCTCTTCACTCTAATTTACTCTAATGGAACTCTATTACATTATTAATGCAATAAATAAAAAAGAATTCAAATTATACTTGTATATCAATAGCTATAAATACCGCTATAATACATTTATACCTACTTTACAAATGTATTTTACGATATGCTTGCGCCACGTCGCGTCGGCGTAGTCATCGGACGTGACTCGAATGAATCACTCCATAATGATATGATACTCGTATTTTACTTCCATAATCTATTGACCGCAATAGTCGAGTTACGTGAACCGATAAGATGGACCATATGATTGATGTTTATCTAATGATTTAAGTGGTTTTTGGCCATTTCAACGGCTTCTTAATATTGTATACCTATAAGAACAGGTACCAACGGTTTAGTCAGACTGTAAAGTTTAAAACTCAAGCGAATAAAAGGATTTGTTTACTTCTAACAAGTATGATTGTTTCCAACACTTTTCCAGCTTTAAAGTGTTTTTATACGGTTCTAAAATCGATAGTGCAATCGGAGCAGTGGTATGCAATGCCCTAGATCGTAAATATCATGTCGTAATCATTAATATTATTATTCTCCTTGACGATTTGCCTATGAGGTGATCTAGCAAACACCGATATCACCACCCACACAGGGCCGTGAATAAACGCTTTATCATATCCTCATGAAATTCAAGCGTATAGTATTTGGCACGGAAAAAGCCATTGTGATCCAGACAATTAATAAGTTAACTAATGAATGTGTGACTAGAAAACAATTAAAACAAATGATAACTCATAATTCACAGATACTTTATCTTATTATATCTATATACATTAGAATCTAACGAGACTTACTATGTTGCTGGATTGAATTATATTTTAATTAAGCACCCACGTAAACTGTAATGTACAAAATAAATAATTATATATTCAAATCGTGTTTTTAATAACAATGAAAAATTATTTTGCGGAAAGTATAAAATACGGATGTACCAACTATATTCAAATTACAAATAAAGAGCCAGGTAATGTATATTTGATGAATAATCACTTAAAGATACATAAAATCTAATCTAGCAACTTTTACGATAAAAGAATGGCGAAAGTTATTTTTTTTTTTTGTGCTAGATGTGATTATAGCTATTTATTAATGACAAAGGCATACCAGCTAATCTATTATATCTTGAATGGGACATTAAAAACAGTTATTAAATACAAAAGATATGAAATATAATTAATCACTTCGCACACCTTTTTATTATCCAATGCCAAGACAATTCTCAAGCTTTATCAGAATTAATGACTGCCATAAATTGTAGATAAACTTACATTTACAATCAGATTGAGAAGTATTTTTCCTAACTTTATCGTTTACAATTATAAGCTTTGTCTGGAAGCACAGTTAAGCGAATACAAATTCGTGTAAATGACACCAAAATTTTTGCCCACGAGTTTAATGAAAATTCTGAAATGAGAAATATTTTGAAACTTAAGTTTTAATTACGGGTATGTTCATACTGAATAATTGAGAACTAGTACCAACTAGTGGTAGTAATGCATGTATTTGGAATTTTTATCATTGTTGAGTGAATAAAAATTGTCGTGAAAAATACCAGTAATATTTTTAGTAATAGAAATATATAGAAATAGAAATATCAAGAGAAAGCTTAATTTTGAACATAACCACCTCTCTAGACCTTCGACCTTCGAAGTCCCAAATAGTAACACGTACTTTAAGTGAGCAATTCTCAAAATTTATGCCAATTATATGGACCTCACTTTAAACGACTTTGCAAGTGACGCCGGTGTGTCCTTTGCATTCAATTATAAGGGATCTCAGTCTTTCACACAGCAGACTAGCGAGGCGTCCTTGTACTTCAACGAGGGTCGCAACTTACGACCTTGTATAATACAAGGACGCTACTTGTCCTTGTCACTGACAATGTCGGTGTTACTTACTGTGTAATCTCCAAAGATTTTCTCAAATTGAAATACAAACAGAGGATTACGGTTGTTTATACTGTAGCACAATACGTGTAAACTATACATACACGTATAAGTAGATACTATATTGATAGTAGTAGATACCATTACAGTATGCGAAATAACTGCTACATAAGGTGACTAACCATCCCAATAACAAGAACACGATCAGAAACGAGTAGTGATTTGGACCTCAACTCTAAAATCCTAAGGGGCCGAACACAAACATGGCATGTAGAGCCTTGTACGACGACGTAGGAGTACGTTAATGCATTATAATACCCCACTACATAAGCGTATAGTAGGATGCAAGTCTTCTGTTAAGACTGTTTAAAAATCCGTTATAATAGCGACGGTTGCCACTTACCCAATCACGCCATTAACTTTTTTGAAACCCTATAAAAAAGACAGTAACATTTCCGTTTACGGTAGATTCTTTTTTAAGATGACTAGTATTAATGCGTAATATAATATTATTAAATACGATTATTTTACTGGCTTTAATCCAATAACAGTAACATCTCGTACTGTATTACTACTGTGATGTGCACAGAATTGCTTCTAAATATATGTATGGGTACCTGATAAGGTAGCAAGTTTGCATAGTCCAGAAACGACAAGCGCTGGTCATGAAGAAACTCCACGGGCTGTGCGTCTGCCTGCAGCGTCAAATCCGCTGCCAGCGGTGTAAACGTCTGAAATTAATTCATTAAGTCAATTGGGATACTTAATACATTTTTATGTAAAATATTTATTTTATTTTATTAGTATTTGTTATCGAACACCAGGTAGAACACGGCAATGTCGCAGGTAGGTACACCGTGTGGTTTTTAGTGGGTATGAGCCCACACACCCCCTCGCCACCTTACTGACGGAGAATGGTCTTTCAAAGAATTTACCACACAAAAAAAAATAAAGGTGAGAGCCTAGTGATTTACTAATACTACTCTCGGTATAGGACTAGCAAATATTCAGATCTAAATACACTTATTGGGGTCGCGGAAGATTCTTTATTCCCATAGTCTCAACCAGTATCAGCTGAGAGATTTATCATCAAGCTTTATCGGTAGGAGACGGCCATATGGCCAGAATGCTCCTATGACAGATAGATCTCCATTACGAATGGTTTTCTGAAGTTTGTGCTACTTAAACCTTTAAAAGCCCATTAAATTTAAGTTCCGATATACGACGTATAATGTATATGGAAAAAAATTGCAAATTGATAAACAAATCAGTATAAATGGTATATTAATTCAAGAGATACTTTGCTATCTTATAATTGCTTTTGTTACATGTCTATCAAAGACGTTGTTTACCAGTTTCAACTAGATTGGCCTTCAGCTTGTTTGATATTCGAGTTGTAAAAAAAAAGAAAAGTAGTTTAATAGTAATACGTTTAATTTGCCATATAAATAACAGCATTTGTATTGTATTTGTATATATACAATATACATACATATATAAAAAGTGTGCATTAATATATTAGTGTTATAACTAGAACATAAGGCTTCATTCGCTTTTATCCAATTACATACTCTATTCTTGGATGATATAAATGTAATGGATGCATGTAAGGTAAGGTGCTTCAACACGTGACTTATGAGAAAAATTAAGAACAAAGTGTAACATAATCAATAATTTCAATTTTACTGTGCAAATTAACTAATACTAACTGTATATTTAATATTCGGTGTGTATAACATATTTTCTTTATATCACACAATAAATCGTAAATGGTATGAAACCGAAAGCATTGACTAAATTGACTATAAAATTAAGAAATATGTGCCCATCTGTTAGTACCAGATTTGCCTTCTTTCATCTCCGCCACCACCCACATTTTTACGTATTAATCTCGTTGTACACATATTTAACAGCATAATAAATTTATAAACAAATACTATTTTCGTAGAGTCTAAAATAAAATTCAAACTCTCCACAATTAACCTACATAAACGTCTGTAGGTACACGTGTATGTTATTGTGTATTAAGTTTGCAATTTATAGCTACAACTGGAGCTCCCACTATTTTCATTTTACGAGTATGCAGTCTATATCGTAAAATATGCGAACTTGAACGTGCAGGAAGCCTGGCGTCGTAACACAAAATAAATAAATTTCGAATGCGGTTTAAACGGATACTAGCACACAGAAGTTAGACTAGACTAGACTATGTAAAAAATTGTGAGGGTATATCGCCAAACAGCTTGCTTTATAAGATGTCTAGGATGAAGGCTGAGATAAGGCAGTAATGAGATCTTAGTCCTCTGGAATCGCATGAGTGGTAATATGGGCGTCATATGATAAATTCATCTGCCGTTCATATATATATAGGCGACGGTTACCTTTAGTTGAGTCGTCATATTGTTTACCATTCCAATTACATAAAATACATAAGCTAGTACTCAGTAGAGGACTTGGACATTATTAGGGGTCTTTTATATAGTATCAATATAACAAATGCATGCTCAAAAATATACAGTCTAATGGAAATGGTAATCTTTTTCAAGTCGGTTAAAAATGACGCCATTAAATTCCTAGCATGAACTACCTGCGGTAGATACTATTCTTGTGCTTATTTCATACCACTTTTCATCCTACTCGCGTATTACACCAAACATGCGACTTTTTGAAATCATTTGCATACGATCTAAATGTACGACTCAGGGTAAACTAAGCATGAGAATTTAGAATTTGGTCCCGTAAGGTAAAATTGGTTATGCGACCTCAGACGGGCTGAAACGTGATCGTAATGCAAAACGGGACGCGTATCCACGAATGGAGGTCAAAGGAGACACGTGTTCGTGTGACGCAGTTAGATTAATTTTCATAAGGTTTTACTTCTATTATTACTTTGTTATTACTTTCTATTATTATGTTTGTTTTAATTTAAACTAGTGGATCGTCCCGACGTCGCCACAGATGAACAATATAGATACTGTATTGTATCTACAATGAGGGGAAGTGGAATGTCAGCAATGACGGCGGATGGCCCCATTGGTAGCATGTACCTATCAGGTTGATCTCATGACTAAACCACTGTGGTTATTAACTTAATTCTCCACTACGGAGACGGTGCACCGATTCATTACCAGTCATAAAAAAATATACATAAGAATATATCCTTAACGACACTAACGTAAAAATTGATGTGACTGATTAGTAATTAATTGTAAAACATTGATTTGGATAATAGACTGCGTGGAAGTAAACCTCACAATGGCGAATTTATAATAATGAGCTAAATGACCTGAAATCATATGTATCCTTTCATCCTTCTTTGGAGCACCGTCGGCGTGCACCATTGAATTAGCACATCCGAGATGTGTATTCCTATGCGTCTACTTTGAATAATTGAGTTTTTCATACTAGTGCTGCCATCTATCCGTTACAAATAAAACTATTACAGTATAAAAATGAAAGTAAACGAAGTAGTACGTAAAAATAACTTACCAAGGCTGGCCACTTTATTTCCTTTCCTTCATAATTTCTAGATGCCCAAACTAATGTTCTTTCCACTAAAAAAATGCGAAACGTCCTACGAGAATACACTGCTACCCACTCGCGGCGTTGCCAGTCCACGCCATCATATTCCACTAACACCTGCAACAAAGAAAATTTCTGTTAACATTTCTGCATAATATTCAAAGCGAAGAACTCATTTTGGTAAATAGAAATATTTTAGATAATTTTCTTATACTGATTTAAAAACTATTTTTAAAATAAACACTAGTGGCGTCATCTTGTGGCGAATAGCTAAATCTTCAAGATATTATGAAAGCAAAGTTTATTTTGTCCCGTCGCCACTAGATAGCGACACATGTATTAAGCACTAGTATTGAACGCGACCACCGCCCATGCTTAATAAATGGCGCGAAAGAGAAGGATTCCATAGTAACAAAAAGAGAAGACAACAATAACAAAACAAATCATATATTACATATATGTATAACATTACCTAATTACTACTACGGGAAACGTAAGTAACATGCTGTGCTGGTTATATGTGGGTGTTTAAAACAGATAAAGTAAAATGGGGTAACATTTCGTAAGTAGAAAACGAAATGAACTGATAAACGATAACAAGATAAAAGAAAAAAAAGAACTGCTTCACAAGTCGTCGTAAATAACACAAAACTAACTGAAAAACGTGGATACCTACATGATCATAAACATGCAGTGAATTACAGAAACCCAAATAATTTTGTAAGGGTTAATGGATGGAAGGATTTCTACAAAAACGGACAGGATTTTAGTAGTTATATGTATAATTTATATTCTGGATATAATTTGTACGTATATATCTTTTTTATATAATTGTTAATAGAATAATAATAATCATCTTTATTTGTCTCAAATAAGGAACTGTTACAATTGCTGCTTATAGTAAAATATATCGAGACAAAACGATTTACAACTGAGAGGGAGCAGTGAGTCCACCCTCTCTTATTCTGTTAAAGCCTTTATCGGAAAATTATTATAATAAAAAATCAAGACTGACGACAGCATTTTAGTTGAAAACTAACAAGATAATACTATAATAACATATATATACTTAGGTGTCCATGGGTAAAGGCACCATCAACAAGAGATGAAATTAAATAAATCCATATTTTTCACCTGTTTACTATAATAAGTGTATACTGACTTTACTGATAATAACCCATCGTCCTTCAGTTAATACACAACATTCATTGGCCATGCTATCACAGTATGAGATAAATTTATTTACATATGCCAGAAAGTAAATAACAATAGGTTATCTCTATGAATGATATTGAAAGTTAAGATAAAATTAATAGAAGAGATTAGTTTTGTATATTGGCCTACGTGTGTGTAGGTCAAGGTCACGATGACCTTGACTTTATCTAATTAAAAGTCAGAGTAATCTTCTTTATCAAGTAAGTGCCGCATTTAATGTTGTCATGATCTTGAAACTAAAGTTGAGAGAAGACATATATACATGATCATATACTGTTATTTAAAATAATTTTAAACATTAAAGTCAAATTCAAATTAAAAAATAATTTATTCATGTAGGACATTTTAGCCGCTTGTGCTTTACCGTCTAATTCAGTATATAGATCCAATTGAGAAGAACTGGCAAGAAACTTAATTGAATCATTGATGATCTTAAATTTTTACACAACTAGTGAAAATAGGTGCAGCAAATCTACTTTCAAGAACCTAAACTGGTTGGGGATATGGTAATAATATTCTTAGTATAATTAAAGTGGAGTACAGAAACGCCCAATGCTTTACCTGCATAAAAGTGTTTTCGATGCCTACACACATTAATAATACTATGAACATCAGGTACCCCGCCTATGGCCATCTAGCATGGCAATCATACGTTGCCGCTCCTGAGGTGTAATTTTCTAAGGATATTGCACCATTTTTAAGGAACACAGCGTTACACAATATGTACATATATACGCTCGTCTCAGAATGCCTTTAATCTTTCAACGAGTACTACAACAACTATTGTATATGCATTGCCCCAGTTTCTGAAGCCCTACCACGGCTCCGCGACTCATGACCCCAAAATACCAAGTGCGGCCTTGTCACAGTCTTTTGATTTCGCTGTATTCATCACTTCTCAGATATGTCGGTGTTTACAACATGCGTGTTTATTAAACATTCTTAAGCTATAAATAGAAATACCATATTCGAAAACCACATTCCCAGATGTATGTAATTTATCGCATGGTATACATGCTACCATACAGTTACATAAACGATAAATATAAATGTTGGTGAAAACGAAAATTTCTGTTGCAAACTTTTTTTACGGTTGTTGCTTTTTTTTAACGGTGTATATTAAAGGAATCTTTACCATGATAACATTATTTGAAGCTCCAAATATTTCAACGCTGTTACAGGCGTCTTCGTCACGGGTCGACTGGAGATAGCGGTAGATATAAACAATTATTAAGAACATATCTGTCTACCCTATCCTGTAATAATCCCATTTATACAACATGTACTAAAATTTCTATTCCATACACCTACAATATTTGTTTACTTACTTTCTAAGAGGTAGAAAAACATTGAATTAAGTATTGTACTACACTTTCATATTATAAATTTAGTTTTTGCATTGCTTCTCGCTCTTTTCTATCTCTTGCTACGTTGTACTCTCCCATTAGATATTAGTAGTAAAATAAAACGTTTTACAGGTACAGTAAAATTGTATTATCGCCTTTTTCACAGTCTACAGTGCGATCGTAGCGTGTGTTCTTTACATTAACTTCAAGTTCCGCAATTCTATACCAATAAACAAAAAAAACGGAACCCATAAAAATGTTGTTACTTAACATGATAATATTATAGGTATCATACTGTTACAGAGGCCGTACTTAAATCATGTGCCTTGGTATTTCCTCAATTCACATAGCTTCTTTTGTCAGTTGTTCTGGTCTGTATTAGCGGAGTGGGACGTTTTTTTAATATACTAGTATTAGCTAAACTGCCACGCCATTGTGTTGTTATGGTATCATCAATGCATTGCATTTACCCCTTTAATAGGGTCGACGCAGTACTCCGCAGTAGGTACTTCTATTTCTTGGGATAGCATATATATATCTTAAATTCTTAATATTGTACATATATGTAGAAGTATAATATTAAAATATTATTAAATATAAAATATTAGTTACTATATAAATAATCAAAGACAATTCGAATAAGCAATCCTGTGCAAATAGTATAAGATGGTCTATCTTACTGTTGAAAGCATTGTGTTATAAATTTCAATTATACTTTTTTCTGACTTTATTATTAGAGAAAATCAGGTCTCTAACAATCTCTACCAAAATATAGTGGATTACCTAAGATTCTGAACTAACAAGGAGACTACGAGCATCAGTTAACGCTAGTCTCATATAGATTGCACTTTTCAACAATAGAGCATTAGAACTTTGTCTACCGGCCCTGATGTTTCCACTTTAACGTAGATAATGGACGATCGTTTGTTTTATTATTAGATGCTGACCTTGAAAAGTTCATGGTGTACCTATTTATCGGCCGGCTCCAGAAACCATTCTAAATTGTAGTGTATGCCAACAGTTATGTATGATATCACATTTCATATAAACATTATCTTTACTGGCTGCGTGATATTTATGACTTCACATACTCTTAAGTTTCTGGCTTATTCACGACAGAATTTCATCCAAATCACTCTAGTACTTGTAGTATGACAAAGTTATAAAGTATTAAACGTACATCAATATTCTTGAAATATTTCGTGCACATTCATTTAGATACTATACAGTATAAGTACCTATTTAAATTTTAGATGATAATCATTACCATTATAGAACCGAATACCTGTTACTAATTCCGGTCCTACATTTAACACAACATATAAAATATCCCATAATTATTACTAAACTTAATAACAAAATTGAACCAAACTTTCCGTTTTACATACAAGATTAATCACTAGACTGGGGCTTGCCCAGTCTAGTGATTAATCTTGTATGCTACATAACACTGTTTCCTACATAACTAGCCTAAATATTGGGGGTTGAGTTAATACTCAACAGAAAACAGTATAGTTACTGTTTTCTGTTACAATACTACATCAACACAATGGAGAACGAAACTAATGGAATCCCACGGAAAATTCTAAAATTATATTCCTACAGTCATGGTCATAGTACATATACTATTTAGTATCATGCCATAATTATATTGCTTACAATTCCAAGGATTTTCCTAACCGGACAAGTACAAGGTGTAGTACAAATGTTTACACGTTACACGTGATTATAGCTACCTACTTAGTTATATAACATTACCATATGTCATAAAACTATATTGGTAAACTTGAACTCTAAATATAATAATTTTAATTTAACGAATATGCAACTTCCGAGCGTATTTATAATCCCCATCATGATGATTTAATTACTATTACATAAATATTACCTCAACATTATTTCTACAACTTACAATAACGCTGTTCAGACTATTCGTCATCATTTACGTGCTGAAACGATCCCAGAAAAAGGACAATTAAAATAGCAGACTAATTGTTGATAACATATTCGTTCCAATATAAAAAATACGATTTGACTATCTTGCAAGTGTATTCAGTCTGTCCTAGCCATTCTGAAAATCAGGAATCTTCAGAATAAAATACAATTGCCTTAAGTCGAGCCTTATAATCAACTACTGTATTTAATAAGAAGATATCATGGGTCATCAAAGATGTTTACTTACAGTAACTTATCAAGGATATAGGTACTGCTGTTGGCAGGTTGCCCAGTTCTTTTTATATTATTTTGATACTCTTTTTTATATGCAACTTTTTAACTTTTTTGTGTTCCCTTTTGAGACGAATACATACGGATAATTATATCTTTTTGTACCGTGTCTTAGTTGTCAAAAGTTATTTAAATTAATACATCAGTTCCCATTCTTTAAGAATTGTAATATTTTTGTATGTGGTTTATATCTAGAGTGTTCTACTAGTACACTAGATAAGAAAACAAATACATAGAATACACCAAGACCGATAACAACTATCATACTCAAGTATACAAATGTTTGTACCGTGCGAGGAATCAAAACCACGACTATCGGCAGTAAGGCGG